ATCCCCTTTTGTTTTACCATGTAGTCCATTTGTGAGTACGGTCCCGGGACGGGCAAATTTAATAAGCAATTCCATCAAGAGGATAAACCTACAAGCGATATTGTGGAACATCCCATCTCTGCAGTGTGCATTGCGTGGCCATGGAAATATAATATGTAAGTTGATATGACCCTGACAGTGCAGATTTGATTGGTTAGAAGAATACCTTGTTAGGCACCACTCACCACAGAGTGGGATCCAAACAATGAGTAATAATAGAAAGGGAAAAAAAGCCCCTAGAAAAAAAAAACGAATACTAAAAAATAACTTTCCCAGTCAGAAATGACATTAGCCCAAAGAGGAAGAAACCGTGGTCCTATGCAAATAGTGAGAGAGAAATATATTAGGGGTCCACACACCAATAAAAAGTTAATGTGTTGAATTTGATGAGAAGACACCAAGAAAAAAGTTTAGGAGGAAGACGATAAAAAATGGAATTAAAAGCCGAACTCAAATGTTTATGGTGGAAGGAAAACAATCATGAACAGAGGATGGCTTCCAATGAATAAAGAGGCAGGAATGGGCACCACAGAAGGAAGCTGTGCAGGCAATATAACAGTGAAGAGCATATACAGGACAGATCAGGCCAAGGATAAAGGTGGGAAATGAAAGGGAAATTGATAAAAAGGATAAGTTACCCTCACGAGTAGAAGATATGTAGAATGATAAAGAGTAAGTGAAACATCGATGGCAAATAAATCAGACCTTCAACTTCCACAGGCTAAGAGGAGAAGGAAATAAGTCTTAAGGGAAAGATGAAACAAGAAGCACATGGAGAGTGGTTCAAATGGAGGCAAAGTGAGGCAGTGAAGGACCACATTAACATCCAAATCTGGAAGAGCAGCCCACTGCAGCAGATGACAAATCTGGAAGGAATACATCAACAGGGAAATAGTAGGAGAGGTAAACACCCTATGGTATTGAGAAAAATGAAAACGTGTGGGACAAGGCTGCCCAATAACCCAAGATAGAGGAGACAGAAGACCCCTGATGGAAAAGCCAAGTGAGGAAATCTGCAGTATGAGGAACCATGGGTTGAGAAGTGGAAAACCCTCGACCCAGAGACCAACAGCAGAAAATATTCCACTTACGTTTATAAACTTCCATGGTTGAAGGGCAAATGGAATAATTCATAAAAGAAGCTACCCATTGGGACAAGCCAGAACTTCTCACCAAGGACCAGATAAAAACAGGCGTGAAGACGGAGGACAGGAAGGGCTGGTTGAAGCACTGGTGACTAAGATTGATGAAGAAGGGAAGGAGTCAGAGGAAGAGGTAATGGAAGAGTAAGTTGGAGCTGAAGAAGCCACAAAAACCGCTGGCCAGTAAGTAGCAATCAGAAGGACTTGACAGAGTGGTATGGTTGATCGAAATCACCCACTGAAGAAGTCAATTGGGAGGATAGACGTATAGGTATTTGTTGGTCCAGTCCTGGCTGAAATAATCAATAGCCAGAACAAGAAGATGAGAAACCAGAGACCAAAACAGAGTCAATTTTTGGTTGATATATATGGCAAAAGCATCAATGTGAGGAGTACCCCACTGAAGGCAAAGCCAATGGAAAGCAAGAAGATTGAGAGACCACTCTATTGGATAGACATTGTCTGGATGGGAAAGCTGATCTGTGACAAGATTGGAAGCACCCGGAACGTGACGCGCAATGATGTGAATATCTAGCATGTGGGTCCAAAATAGAAGATTCAACATATGAATACAGAGGGTTCGAAAACGAGTGCTTCCCTGGTGATTGAGATAAGCAATCTCTGTAGAACTGTCAGAATGGATTATTACAAGATGATTTCTGGCCAGGAGGAGAAAACGAACCAAAGTACAATGCATAGCGAGAAGCTCTAGAATGTTGATATGATAAGACTTCTCAGCTGCAGACCAATACCCTGAAGCTTCCTGTTGATCGACCCATGCCCCAATCTCCGAAGGGATGCATTCATCAAAATGTGTAAATCTGGATAAGGAGGAGAAAGTGGGATACCTGCTGATGTGCAAGTCTTGTCCAACCACCAAAGCAGATCATTGACAAGGGTAGAAGGGAGGGTAATAAGAGCTGTCAAAGGATCCCTCAAGAAATTCCACTGGTCATGAAGAGCCCGCATATAAGCCCAACCTAAGGAGATAAGGGCTGCCATGGAAGACGACATCCCAAAAGCAATAGAACCTCATGAGCTGTAATAGAGGGACCAGTAAGAGCATGAAGAATTGAAAGTTCCAATGAACAAAGTCAAAGAGGAGAAGGTTGAGCCCAATTGAGATGGATGTTGAAAAACACCCAAATGGACAAGATATTGGGTAGGTTGTAGGAATGACTTCTCAAACTTCATTAACCAACCCACTCAAGCCACCTCAAGGAGCAGCTGATGAGTGTTATGAGTGGACTCCTATTCAAAATGAGCTAACAGTAGCCAGTCCTCCATGTAATGATAAAAGAGCAACCTGAGAGCATGTACATGACAAGAAATGGTCCGATCACCCAACAAAAAACATACTGGACCGAAGCAAGCCCAAAGGGTAGTGCACAACACTGATAAACCACACCCTGGTGAACAAGTCAAAGATAGGTTCGAGATTGGGGAGATATCAGGATATGCAAATAAGCATTTGAGACGTCCATCTTGATCATCCATAAACCTGGAGAAAAAGCCCACCTAAGGGTGAGGAATGACTCTATGATGAAACAGGGCAGATTGAGAAATTGATTGAGGCAGGACAAATCTATTACAGACCACCAGTCTCTTGTTTTTTTAGGGACAACAAACAGCCTGGAATAAAAGCCTGGAGAAAGATAGAGAACAGGTTTTATGGCCTGTTGAGACAGAATGTCTTGTACTGCCTCTGACAGAAGGCATGGGGAAGGAAATAGGTAACTGAGATAAAGAAGGGGGAAAGAAATTGTACGACAAATCCCTCTGATAAACCCAAAGAAGCCATGGATCTATAGGGAAAGATGCCAAAGGGTAATAAAATCATACAGTCAAGCTCTCACTGGACCAGAACCCACTGGTTAGTCTCCGGTACTGTTGCCAACATGTCCATCGACATTGAATATAACAACAAGATGAAAAACCCCCCTGGAAGGAGGAACAGGGAAGGGTAGATAAGGACTAGGATGGGAAACAGGAATAGGTACTTGACTTGGCTTTGACTGTTACAAATGTGTTAACAAAGATGAAAGGGTAGTGTTGATGCACAGACTCAACATATCATTTCAAAGTCTCAGGTACATGATTGAAAACATACTACCAAAAGAAAGGGGCCATACGTAAAGATAAGGGGGCCGCAAAAAAAACCTGAGAAAAGGCTGTATCTCGTCCCAGAGAATCCCAACAACAGAGAAACCACGTGTGTAAAGCAAGAGCCAAAGACGACATTCTAGCCAATGTGGGGGTAATAAGGGAGAGGTTTTCCTTTGAAAAACCATCAGTCTCGGTAAATTGTCTTGGAAAGGAGATGGAAAGTAGATAAATACTGTAGAAGGGAAGTAATGGTAAGACAAAGACATAAAACTAGGCATTGGTTAAACACACAGGAAAATCAGGGATGGACCCCACACAGGTAAAATCGACCCCAACTATTGAGAGTCGAGAAACAGAGTGAGCCTGATGGTAAGCTAATGCAAATTGATCCAGAGCCTGTGGAGGGCAAGGTATGCTGGTACCCTCAACCAATTGTGAAGCAACTTGCTCAGCATGAATCCCAATATCCGGGTAGGGTGGGAAAACTAAGTGAGGAGAGGAAGAGCTATCATGCAACAAAGAAGGACGGAGATCATAGGGAATTCGGGAAATAGATAAAACATTACATACCTAAGAAATCATGTCTAAAAATATGGTATTAGGCCCAGCTGATTCTGCAGGTAGGGCATAGAAAGATATGGCTGAAACAGGTTCAGCTTGCTCAGGAGGAAGTGGGGCAAGTTCAGGAGAAGGAAGTTGACCCATGTAAAAATCAATCTCATTGTAGATAATCACAGATAAATCTAACGATGGGTCTCATCCACCTGCAGCCCATGAAATAGTGCTAACATGAACCTCAGAAAATTCATTGTAGAAATATATATATCAAACAAAAGTGTTTGATGTAAAAAATGAGTGTGACAAAAAAAATAACGACTGGGAAATGAAGTTAAAGACTTCTTTAATGTGAAAACAAAATTAATGAAGAAATCCCACTTTGAAAATTAAATGATTAATTTCACAAATGAAAATCCCACGATGAGCACCAAAAGACAAAATGTCTGAACACGAGTACTGCCAAACAAGAAGTGATAGTTTGGTAGAACTGAACAGAGGGAGTCGCATGCATCATGAGAGTATTTTGCACTCTTACTGGTATAGGGTTGTCGCATGACGATTTGTACTGGTACTGGCATACTTAATATGGCTTGTGGCATGTGTAAAATTTTTTTTTGCATATAGAGGGCAGCAATGAATGAGAATAGCTATTTATGTGAACAGAGGTAATGCACCATATCAGAACAACCATTTCATATAAATTTGGTTTTTTGTATAAAAACATCTCTGTTACTATATCAACCACAATGAATGCTTGTACATGTATAAAACAGTCCTGACTGAAGAAAAAAAAAATCACTTTAGAGAATGTCAAAGACTTAACATACACTTTGCTTTCTCATGTGAGTGTGTTCTCGTAGAGCCAGATCCCAGAACTGATAACCAATTTGATTTCCAGCTTGTCCAACTGAAAAGGAAAATATTCAGGTTTTCAGAGGTACACTTGTGGGATTCAAGTATACTTATACCTAAGAAGTAGTCAAAAGTTTCCATACAAATACATATTCAGGAAATGTTATGTAGAGAATATATCAAACAAACATAATTGAACAAATAAATAACTTTATTCACACACAGTTCCTTTTAGCTGGCTTACAGCATTCTTTTGTGACATCTATGGTACAGGGTGGTACCAAATGTTAGCTAACTCCTCAATTATTAAACAATTCAACTTTCCTTACTCTAGTGAACACAATATTAGGATCCATTAATTTGCCATTAGCCATGTTCTCTTATAGGGAAGATAGCTGTAACTTCATCATGACTTTTGAAGATAGCTGTCTTTTGTGTTGGGGAATTGGATAATGCCCCAGGGTTATGAAGTGAGTATGGCTCTAAGTTATACATGCAAGGAGCATGGCATGAACAGCTTGGACTTTCTGTATTATTACATTTGTATTTAAAATCAGATTTTCCCTGCTGGCTGAACATAAACATGGTAGTCCATTGGACCAGCCCTGTATTAGAGAAGTAGTATTGCCCATAATTCTGAACTTACAAAGTATATCTCTATGAAATGTGGCAAGCATTTAGTAAATAGTGTAAGTCTGTTGTACAAAACAAATCAGGTGTGTAATTAAAGTTTTTGTACTAAAGATATATCTGTGAAATGATGAAATCAGTCTGTCTTTGACAAGCCGAAATGTAAGGTGACGTCCATATGAAGAATTAAATTACTTTTGACCATCATACAGTTTGCATTTGCATAACCTCTACAACCTTCTAAATGCATATCTAAAGCTTTTTTCAGTATCCCTGTATATTGTATCTGTTATTTTCTCTACTCTTAAAGAAACTGTTGTGAAATCAGCAATGTAAGGTAACATGAAATGTTGATAACTCTGACATCCAATGCATAATACCATATTGAATAGCACTCTATAGAAGCTCAGAGCATGCACACTTTGGTCCCTACCCATGCATATAGGGTTAAGCAAGCTATTCAAAGTTTTTCAGAAATTTACAGTTTTAGAATTTCCTACAGATTAAGGATTTCTTAACTTCAATAATCTTAAAGTAGCATTTCTCTGTTTACAGTTAGCTTAATTTTATTTAAACTTGGGGGGGGGGGGGTATTTTAATATTTTCAAATCTTTTTTCTTTTAGCTTATGAGGGAGAGTTACACTGGATTGGTGAGTGAGATCTATTAAAGGTTTCTCCACACTTCTCTTACCAATTCAACACACTCACAACAAACACTTCTTGTTTTGTGACTGTGTATTGTATTTGTTCTTTGATTGTTTTTACTGAATAAAGATTGTTGTGCTGTACATCCTGTGTATTGCCTCATTCTTTATTGATGAACTCTGTTAAGAGATCAAAGAGAGACAAACCAATATTCTCCAGCATGGTATCTTCTGAACCTCCAGTTAATGGGCCCTGACTGACTACTGCAGGAAATATGTACATCAGAGCATATCACACTTCTAATAACTGCTGGGGTTAAAAGTAAGCTTTTGAAATACATCTGCAATGGACCAACAACAAAAATGATCATGTACTTCACTTTCAAATCACACAAAAGAACACCTACATAAAAAATTAATAAATTAGCTGAATATAGCTTACTACAAACATAATCCAAATTAATTAAGGAAGGTAGAAATTACTATCTATTTCAAATATAACACATTTATGGTTCAGTTATTGAGAACTGTAGCTTTCTACATAATAAAGTCAGGTAAGATAAGTTAGTATTTTCTACCAAAATGTCAAAAACCTGTGCCATGAAGTTTGTCTGGCTTATAAAATTTAGGAGAAGCCCAAATTCTAAGATTAAACCATCAATACACTATCTGGACACATAAAACTTACAAATATATAAGAAACATTGGTGCATTTTATTAACTTTCATGTGTTAATAATACTCTGTATTAATTGATATTAACTCCTAATCAGAGCAAGCTACCTACTTGGAATGAAACTAAAAACCAACCTGGTAAAAGTATACTGGATTAAATATAATTTTCTTATGTTCTTACTTATAAATATTAAAATGCAGTGTTTCATCAGTTGTATCAAACAATGCCAAATATGCACAGAATGTAACACCTTCCTGATGCATTGAAGAAAAACAAACCACAAGTTTCCTGAATAGTAACCATGTGTCCTAGTTTAGTCAAAGCAGTTCTTATTTTCCATTAAGTGTCCCGACAATTATCCGAAATGTCCTGGGTTTTGATGAAGCTAAACAAATGAGTATTTTGTCATCATAAATGGAAATTTGGGCCTATAGAAATATTTAGGCCTAACAGCAGAAACATAGATAAGGATATTTAGAATTGGGTGGATGATAGCATGAAAGCATGTTCACTTACAGATGTATCTCTAGAAATTTCACTATAACCACGGCATGTTCACTGTGTCATAAAGGAGGAGGGAGTATATATATATATTTATGATGGAAAATTATATGGCTGAGTTTAGTAAATCAAAAAAGCATGCAATGTTAATTCATGATGGTTGGACTTACAGAACAGCTCAGGTGGCTATCTTGGAATGAATGGTATGTACACTTCATGATGGTACACTTACTCTAATTCAAGTGAAGAAGAATTTGAAATCTTTTAATTAAAGCAATTAATCTGATATACACTGTGTATAGAGGTAAAAACAAATCTTAGTTGGTATAATAGCATGTTGTCAATGTAGATTTAAGTAATAACCTACAAGATATAAGGTTGTTTGTATGATTGTTTGGTGTTTTTTGGCATATAGCAACTAGGCTATCTGTGCCAAACAATCGCTATAAAAAAGTAAAATACTATAAAATGTAAAAAGAAAACAAGTTAAAAAATAAACAAAGCCTAAAAATCAGGTAAATAAGTAAATATAATGAAAAAGGCCAATGGCCCACAAAAATCTAAAAACACAGTCAAGATGGACAGTGTCATCATTGCCAATGATGCTGTCCAAGAACAGGGGTAAACCCTGAGAAAAGCATATCTAAAATGTTGCAGCCCATTCCCAGTCGTAATGACAACATGACAATAAAATGTGAGCTATTGTGACCTGAGTATCACAAAGACCACACATTGGTGGATCAGTCCCAGATAAAAGAAAATGATGAGTTAAAAACTGTGACCAATGAATAGCCTAGCCAAGACAACTTCCTCCTTCTAATTCTTATGGAAACAAGACAGCCAACGAGCAACAGAAGGATTGATCTGTAAAAGCTTGTAATGATGTTGCTCACTTCAAATCGAATGCCAACTGGCATGAAGCCAAGCTTTGAACACAGGTGTCAGCAAGCTCATTCCTGCAAATATCAACATGACCAGGTATAAAACAAAACTCGATAGAAGTAGAAGATAGAGAAAAATGGGCCAGTCATTTCAGAATGTCTAGGAGAACAGGGAGAGAACTCAGGTGAAATGATTCTCCAGAAGAGAGCTAAGCGAGTCTGTGTAAGTCAGGCCTCAACAAATCCTGGGTGTTAGGTCACCACAGTAACTAAAAATTTCATTGTGGTACCTTGTATTTTCTCCCATTTTATTCATGTATAGGGCTGTGCTAAAGCAAACTCGAACCTAGAACATTTCTGGACTCTTAGAAGTCCAGAACTATTTTCGTATTCTAAGAGTTCTAAATCAAACTGTGTTTATAAGATCTTAATGGAGGATTCTGCATTTCTTCATGTTTTTTTTAGGAATGAAGTGCTGTGGTTGCACAACGGGTTACTAATTTTGTGCCATTTTGTTTTTCTGCTTTCTCTATATTCAACTAATCAGTGCACATGTTTAGAGTAAGATGGGACTAAAGACAGTTACTTCAGGCAATACTATCATGTGATTGTTAGCATGCACTCGTTGCTATGAAAGTAAATAAATATACATAGCCCCCAATTCCCAGTACAAACAGTAGTGAAGTTAGGTTTGTCACACCTGTCTCCTAGATCTGAAAATATTTGTTGAGACCTGATGTAAATAATACAGTTAGTTTACTGCTTAGCTTCTATGTGATCCAAGGCAGTGAAATGACATACAACTCAGCAGTGAACACAGAACTGTAAAGTGGATCCTGTGAGCAGCCACTGAGCCACAACAAACCATAGCAAAGCCCACACAGTCACCTAATTTCGAACCATTCATAAAAACAGGAACAGAAGAATGGTTCAAAAGATGTTTGGCAAATAGAAGAAGGTACTTCCAATCGAGAGTATTGGTCTTCCCCGAGGAAGGAAGACACAACCCCAGGTGAAATGCGAAAGTAAAGATCGAAGCTTGGTAAGTTGCACACACTTGATGTGAAGAGGAGGTTCATGGGACTCAGTGTACATACTCTGAACTGGTGAAGTATGGAAAGTCCAACATCTTCAAGGCAAAGGGCCTGGCAGGAACACAGACCTGGATCATATAACTGGGGATAAGAAATATTATTTGCAGGACATAAACATTGTACCTCTGTTTATTGTGAGAGTTTAGGAGTCAGGATATCCTTTATGAACCAAAAGGCCCCCTTGATTTTCCATAATTTATAACATAAAATGTATAATTTCTGAATAAAACATTTTCATCGGCATTACCAAAATATTCTCATCCAAGAAGCTATCTAAGTCTTTTAGATAAATAATGAAAACATAGATGTAAAAAAAAAAATAATTTACTAGTTACATTCTCCTGAAAGAAAAATGTCCATTTATTTCATGTAAAATTGTCATCCTTTTTTTTCTATCATGCAACCAATCTTTTTAATTCTTCTTTATCTCTTCCATCACTTACATATAATTCCAAACCACTGAGCATGTTATTGTATAGCATAGCAACAATAGCTTTCTCAAATTTATGAAAACACAAAGATGTTAGAATAATAATTACTATCATGAAATTATTCATAGTTTGGCATTATAACAAATGTATGCCATAAGACATTGAGAGAGCATGTTTTTTCCTGTAAGAAAACATTAGAAGAGGAAGCCAAAAATTGAAAGCAATGTTCTTAGGCTTTGAGATAGTTGAATGTCACAATGAAAAACATTTTAAAACCTTAAGAGTAGTTTAAATTCCCAAAATTTTGTTGGACAACAAAATGGGTGTGTTGGTCTACATTTAAACTGAGCTGAAGAAAGAAATTGGCTACAGGGTGACCCCAATGGACCAAGTAGTCTTCTGCTGCCTTTTTCTTTTCCTGTATTATATATATTTTGGAAGCCTATAATCAAATTTTAAAATTACATAGCTGAGTGTGAAAGTTTAAATCAAATTCAAATACCTAAATTGTGAGTACAAGTTTAGTAGTACTTTGTTATTTAATTCTGGTTTCATTTCAAGATCAAACTAAACAACCAACAAAGTACTACTGAACTTTTACTCACAACTTACAATCTGTCTCAGTATAAATGCATCAAAATTAGGAAAATGACTCTCGGGAAAAGCAGGAGATTGCCAAAAATTTAATCCATAAATCAAAAACTTTTAGGGCTCACCTTAGGTGTAACTGGCATACTTGTGATGCACATTCTCTTGCTTTGCTTTATCAAATATACCTTCCCCCCACCCACCCCTAAACTCTTAATTTGCCTCCTACACCTCTGATCCAGATTTGTCCTTTGGCAAAGCTGTATTTGGTTAGTTATAGCTACTTTGGTTTATATGATGATGCATGAAGTTTATTGAATGGAGTATTCACATGTCACGGTCTACATTTTAGTTTGGATTTGATAATAATATAGTAGTAGTAGTGTAAACTGAAGTCACAATACTGACAATGCCAGTATCTTGAGTAAGGCAGTAGTACTGATTCAATGTAAACCCTTAGTCTTTAGTTGTAGTACATACTATTTATTTTTCGGGATTTGTTTTTTAGAGCAAAGCTAAACTGGGTTATGCTGTGTCCATCGCGGGGAATCGAACCACGGATTTTAGCATTGTAAATGCGCTGGGCCACCAAGGAACACTGCCTGAAGAGTAAATTCAATTATATCAATAACGTTAACAAACTGGAACACTCCAAGTATATGGTGCTGAAATTTCGAGATCACCAACTATTGTTATTCTGAATTATTGTTACCAGCCAGTAATACAATAGTTAAAATATAATTTATGGCAAATTCTCTCACCTTGGATGACAATGCATTGTGTCATTCTGTGGAACTATTTTCCTAATATTTATTTCAAAAACGAAAATGGTATACAATCCCATAAATAAACCAAAAGTATAAAGAAGTAATATAAATTCAATTTCAATACCAGTCACTTTACCGCCCCGACATTCTATTTGTAGGCCACGCCACCTACCAAATACGAAGGGTTATTACTTTTTTCCTCGTAAGACATAAAATATTATGACAACAAACAACCTCAGATTAAAATTGAACGGTAAAAGTAAATTAGTAGCATTCTTTACTATAAAAACATGAAAGTGGGCATTTGCAGGGTTCGAAAACCATCTTTTATAAGGATACAATATCGTCTACAATCTACAGTGTATTTCTATATATTTTTTCGGCTTATTTTCTTAGGATAAGCAAAATAACTTGACACCTCCTAAACTACAAATCGACCATCTCCATGATGTCATATGAATTAATTTATTTCTCTTTGAATTTCGCACAAAGGTATTCGAGGACTATCTGCGCTAACAGTTTCTAATTTAGCAGTGATAAACTAGAAGGAAAGCAGCTATTCAACACCACCTACCGTCAACTATTAGGTTATTCTTTTATGAACGAATAGTTGGATTGACAGTCACTACACAACGCACCCACGCCTGAAAGGACGAGCATTCTCGGTAACGAAGATTCGAACCCGCGACCTGTAGATTGCGAGTCGAGTACCCTAGCCACCAGGCCTCATATGAAATAAACCCGACATCTAATTACAGTTATAACTCTATAAAAACCGCTATTAAACGAATATTTTCTGTAATTTGTGAAATTGTATTCCTTCTTTTCCTATAATTATAATTATATATTGCTTCCCTGTCATTCAGTTGAGCTGTCCTTAGAGTTTCATTTCCATTAGTTAAGTAGGATGTTATTACCACCACAGATCTCTGTCAGGGAGGATAAGCAGATTTCTTCCATGGCATTCAAGGGTGTGGTGAAAGATGATTTGAACCATTTCTTGATGCATTTCAAGTAGGAATTGCTTTAAGCAAGCAAAAAGATTTTTAGGAATCACGCTAAACTCGCGGCTGCTATGGACCACTCACTACAAAAACATTTTGAAAAAACAAGCACTACACTGGCATTCGTCCGCTGAATCGGGAGCATGAACAAAGACTGTAACAGCCGCCCAATCATTAAAATTTCAAAGCCTATATCAGACTTCTATACGAATATGGGGCCCCATTACTTGTAATATGCCTGACACATTATACCAAAAGACCCCGCAGCAACAGCTCACCGCCATCAAAACAGCATTCCGTCTCCCAAAATACACCCCACAACAATCTTACTGACCTACCACTCATTATGGAACGCATTTATGCGATAGCTAAAAAAATTGTACAACAAAACCCAAAATAGAAACAGCGAAACCAGCACCTTCCCCAACCTCGCAGCCACACCATCCACATGGTAAACACACACACCTCTCCTCTTAACTATAGAAATAGTGTTTAATCAATCATTTCCTTTTCAGTTACACATCTCGGGCACAGGTAAAGTAGTGTTACGTCTCTGTATGTTTGTTTGTTAATTCTTCTACGATACAAGTCCTTTCTTAAATAAAACTTGTTTATTCTTTCCCAATACAAATTTGTAATGCACTTAATTTTCACAGTTACACACACTATAGTTCAAAACAATTATCTCACTTTCTACCGCGCTTGACTTAATTGTCCGTCTCCGCCAACTATAGTTCCGATCTCTGTATCTGCTATCCTCGGTTCCCCACTCTCTCTCTTTTTCTCTCTGCCTTTGCTTCGTCTCTCTCTCTCTCTGTCTGTCTAGCGCACTTATATACGATAATACCGCCTATTCTAGAATCTTCCCATGGAGAAGACAACTTAGGAGACTTCCCTTTGGTCTTCCGTGGGATTAAACAACTACTACTTTGTCTCCTGGTACAAAGCTAACTTCAGTAGATCTCTTATCTTAAG